CTTATGATAGATCTTGTAATTGTCACAAGATTCATTGTGGTAACAACCAAAGAAACGGGCCTGCAGGAGTGCTTATATTTAGCTGATTCAGAGCTTAATTAAAAACAAAGGAAAAACTGGTTTTGAAAGTGCCTCTCACTTTTAGTGACGGGCGTTTCTGTCAATCAGGTGTCCACCCTTGTTTCACTGTGCGTGTAGGCCTTAAAGGTTAAAATAAGGCGCTTTGTACTTAATCAGGGCTGTTTTTCACCAGATACGCAGCTTCCATCGATGACATTCTGGAAGAAGAGGAACATTATGCAGACCAGCTGAAAGAATATCTCTTCTATGCAGAAGCACTACGGTATGTACAGGAGTACATAGCTCAAAGGGATGCTGTAATCCTTTCCTCTGATGCTGCGTTATGTTGAATTTAGTGTAGTATCCTCTTGTTCTGCAGGAAGTGGAAATGTCAATGTTGTGGAATCTCCATCTTCTCACCTTTTATTTTGCTTACTCATATTTGATTGCCACGTGGGTGGCGATAAAAATTAGAGCTGAGCTGATCAGTAGGGAAGTGGCAGAAATGTTGAACTCTGAATGTTGCGAAAGGTAATGCTGTTTAATCCTCTGGTTATGCTGGTGCTTTGTCTTCTGGTGTAATAGTGCCCCAGTGTGCTGAAAGCCTCAACTTTCAGATGAGATGGGCCAAACAGAGCTGCTGCAGCCATTGCGAATTCCAGCAAGTTTCAGAGTGCCCTTACGTAACTGTCTGCAGCCAAACACTGATTTTATTTTATTTACATTAGCCTTTATAGGGCAGTCCTCCCTTAAAAGCGTGGATACAAAGGCAAATCGCTCTATGCCGTAAGATTGCGCGTAAAGCTGTTGGGCTGTCCGCAGGCTGGCTCTGAACCTCTTGGAGAGGTCCAGTAGTGCTGTAAAGAATCAGGTTGGCGAGCGTGGTGGCTGCTGTGTGGGAACCCAGAGCACAAGGAGCTTCTCCTGGGAGACACGTGCATCCGGACTTGGAGCACGGATGTAGCATCGTCAGCCCACACAGGACTGGGAATTATTGCAGGTGGTCAGAGGAAATTCTCTTCTTTTCCAGATGAAAGGCACTACGTGAATCTAGGAGGCTGGTTTCTTGTTTTGTTTTTTAAAAAATGTGGCTAATTTTATGATAGACTGATGCGTCGCTGCTGTGACAGGTACCATCTCCAGGGAGCTTTCATCGTAGCTGTGATTTTTCTGCAACATATTTTAAATGAAGCTGTTCTGCAGTGGTGTCGTTAAGTAGGTAGTTCAGCTCGCGTTGCTGAGAGCGTCTCAGGATGAGTCTAAACGGAGGAGCAGAGGAGTGGAATGCTGCCCTACTAAGGACTTCCGTTATACTTTGATCCAAGCTGGCTCCGCTACAGCCCTTGTGGAGTTATGCATTCTGTGATAAGGCTGTTGAATTTGAGCTAGATAAATAACTGAACGTGCTGCCTGCCAAAAAGCATGATGCCATCTGTAAAGTTTAAATGGAGGGAAACGTAGCAAAACCAAGTATTACGTGACAGATCTTTCATTGCTTACTTTTCAGGGCGGTTTGCAGGAAACACGAACTAATGCAGTATGACTTGGAAATGGCTGCACAGGACCTAACGTCTAAGAAACAGCAGTGTGAGGAGCTGGCAACAGGAGTGAGTCTTTCCATTTTCTTCTCCAAGATGCCTTTTTTTTAAAATTTGAGCCACGTTACTTAGAATGACATTTAAATGGCACTAACGTGCTGGCTGCCGCTTACGAGGTGCGGTCTCATATGAGCTGTAGGCATCTGAGGTCTAAAGTAACTTGGTTCTTGATGACGTAAGGTGTTTGTACCAAACTTCTTTTATTGGATTCTGAGCAAGTAAATGGTTGCAGGAAATATGACCTGAGCAGAATAACACAAACAGCTCTAAAGATCGAAATTCTGAAAGGCCTCCTCTGCCTTTTGAAAGGTGGATATTATTGATACGTGGCTAGTCCCTTTTATATGGAAGATAATATTACTTAATCTTAAATTGATAACGTCAGAAGAGTGTTTAGAATTCCTAATGTTGCTGTTGATCTATTGATGCTCTACACACAGCAACTTCGTGGCTTTCCTTTCTCATACAGAACACAAGGCTTAAGTTGTTTCCTACTTCAGTAAGAAAATAGCTCTGAGAGGTTACCCATGTCAGTGGAATGACTCACTTGTGCTCCAGTCCACGGAGCAGCCTCAAGAGCTTGGACATGAAATTATTTCTTCCCCACTTGGCTCAGTCTGACGTGAGCCACCGTCTATAACTGCTTATCAATGGGTGATTCATGAAATGGAAATTAAAGCCAAAAATCAGCTGAATAATAAGAATAAGCCTGAATGCTGGTAAAAATCACCCAGTGACTTGTGGCTGAGGTCTAGAACCCCAAACCGAGAGTGTCTTTGTCTTTTGTAGACTGTGAGAACGTTCTCCCTGAAAGGGATGACTAGCAAGCTCTTCGGGCAGGAAACCCCTGAGCAGAGGGAAGCCAAGATAAAGGTTCTGGAAGAGCAGATACAGGAAGGAGAAGAACAACTGAAGTCTAAAAATCTGGAGGGCAGGTAAATGGGCTTGGCTTTTTCAAAGAAAACACAGGGCTTGTCTTAGCAAAAAGTCCTTGACTGGATGCTCTTGAAGGTGTTTGCATTTTATAAGTGTTTTTAATATATTCTTGGTGTTTATGAGCTGTCTATAAAAGCTCCTGTCAGCTGCAAGTTGTGAAATAAAGTACAGTACATGCAGTTAGCTTCTGGTCTGAGTGCATGGCTTATGTAAAACCTGATGACTTTCCCAGCCACTGAGCCCACTCTGATGGCTGACGTGCACGCTTTTATGTTCAGCTAGTAATATGTTTAGCAGGTGGGCTTGTAGGTCTGCAGCTGAAGAGCCCGAGACTCAAAAGCTGATTTGCTTCAAACAGAGTATTTAGTTCGGTTTACGCGTATGGGTCCTGAGCTCATTTTCTGCATTTTCTCATATGGGAGACAAGTGACTCCTGTTTGAAAGAGATTAGAAGTTCTGGTGAGTCGTCCTTGAGCTAACTGCTGCTCGGTGCTCTAAAGAAATTTTCCTCAGGAATGCAAACATGAAAAATAGGAACTAACATTCCCAAAGCGATGTGATTGTGTCAGAACACGTTCATCGTGTAACGCAAGGGTGAACGTGGTAGCTCCCAATATGTTTGGGTTGGAGCTGGAAAGATAAGACTAGTTCACGAACAGTTCAAAACAACAAGACACTCAGTAAATGCAATTTCTTAATCATTTTGACAGAAGTACTGGAGATCTGTTTTCATAGCTCTGGAAGCAATTTTCAAGTGAATACTTGCCTTGTGTGTATAATCCAGCACAAATGAAAGCTATGAATTACAGAAATCTACCTCCACTTTAGCGAAGGAGTCCTGAAGACACATCACCAAACCAACAGAATTAATGCCTGAACTGAATTGCCCAAGTTAAATTTGCATTGTAAATGTTTGTTGTACTCAGATGTCTCAAATCCTGGTGACAAGTAAGTTTTCATGATGGAGAAAACAAGATCCTGACTTGAAAACTGACAAGGAAATGTGCAGTGTGCTGAATGTTAGCATAAAGATCCTTAGTTACCCTCACAGAGTCTGAGGAGTAAAATATATTCTGAATTATGATGGTTGTATGGCAGCGATGCTTACTGGCGAAAAAAATACTCAAAACAACCCAACATATCCTGTGAAACTGGTCCTCTAGATGAAAAGCCTTCAGAAGATGAGTTAGACAGCAGTGCCAGTTCTAAAACGAGGACACTGTGGGATGGATAACTACAGAACTTGGTTTGCTGACTGGGAGATCATAGAATCACAGAACGGTTTGGGTTGGAAGGGACCTTAAAGACCATCTAGTTCCCACACCCCTGCCATGGGCAGGGACACCTTCCACTAGACCAGGTTGCTCAAAGCCTCATCCAGCCTGGCCTTGAACACTTCCAGGGATGGGGCATCCACAGCTTCTCTGGGCAACCTGTCCCAGTGCCTCCCCACCCTCTCCGGGAAGAACTTCTTCCTGATATCCAATCTAAACCTCCCCACTTTCCATTTAACCCCATTACCCCTTGTCCTGTCACTACAGGCCCTTGTAAAAAGTCCCCCCCCAGCTTCCTTGTAGCCCCTTCAGGTACTGGAAGGTGCTATAAGGTCTCCTCGGAGCCTTCTCTTCTCCAGGCTGAACAAGCCCAACTCTCTCAGCCTGTCCCCATAGCAGAGGGGCTCCAGCCCTCTGAGCATCTTTGTGGCCTCCTCTGGACTCACTCCAACTGGTCTATATCCTTCTGATGTTGAGGGCTCCACAGCTGGAGCACTCTGTCATTCACAGCTGCTCTGCTGAGGGTTCAGGGGAAGGAAGGTCAGCTGAGGATGGAACGTGTAAAATGCTCACTAACAGAAATGCTGCTTTTAATTGCAGAGACTTTGTGAAAAGTGCCTGGACTGACATCGAACGGTTTAAAGACCAGAAGAATCGGGATTTGAAGGAGGCGCTCATAAGCTATGCTGTTATGCAGATTAGCATGTGCAAAAAGGTACGTCTGCGACTGGCCGGGCCAGTGTACGTGCTGCCTCAGCAGGGGATCGAAAGCCAGCTTTTGGTAACGAGGAACCTCGCGGTCACAGGAGGTTGGGAGTCACTGGCGTAAAACCTCCCGCATATTCTGTCCCCTCTAGCTCAGCCACCCGTTGCTGTTGGTACGTGATGGGCAGTGGGGTCCGGTTCCAATGTGGTCTCTGCGCTACTCTGGCGTGAAGGTCTGGGGGACTCTGTAGAGTTCTCTGTGGAAGAAAGTCTCTTGATGAGGTTTTCTTTTTTTTTTTTTCAAACAAAGTGTATTTCCACCTATTTATTTTTTAACTTTTGTTTTTAAAGGGAATTCAAGTTTGGACAAATGCAAAGGAATGCTTCAGCAAGATGTGATTACCTGGAAATGAATTCCTCCTCCAAGTGCCAGGGAACGGAAGCACAAATGTATAACACCAATGTTAAGTTGCTACATGACTTGCATATAAATCATGAAATAAATGAGTTGAGTGAATAGTTTTTCTTTCTGCCATTGTAATTGTTAATAAAGGACGAAAAGGACACATTATTAAATGTTTAGCCCTGACTGCCACTACTGTGGCATGTTTTGTACGTGGTAGCAAGTAATTCAGGGGTAAAAGAGTTACTGCAAACTACAGCTCTGCAGTGGGGCAGAGGCATATAGGGCAAGTTCTCCCACAAACTGAACTGTTCTGAGACTTGTGAAACACCGTGCTCTGTAATGTGTAGGTGGCTTCCAGGTGCCATTATTTTCGGCCCTTACTGTTTAGAATTTGTCATGCTCAAGGGTGCTCTGGTTTTATAATGGGACTTGCTGTTGTGTTCTTGAGGTCTACACCGTACAAGGACAAAAAATGAAACCCTGGTACGCCCAGGGTTCATATCTAAATGCCTTTGCACGTGCATAGAGGACTGTGCTTTTCCAGAGCGTGGCTGAAGCAGTCTCAAGCTCCTGAGATGTTTGAAACTCTGCGGTAGAGGTGGTGTTCGATGGTTGGATATGATATTCTGCGTTTACTGGTTCCCACTTACGTTTCGATACGGGCATTGATACCTTATCCACTTTCTTCCTGCAAGGAAAGGAGACTGGTGATCCAGCTGAGCAGCAAAACCAAAGTCAAAGCTGGCAAGAGGCAGATGCAACTTCTGTTTGGTTGTTTGTGAACCTGTTTACACTAGATGTGGTACCTCTTCCTGTAACTGGAGCGGTTTGGTTCTTAAAAAGACAGCTTTTAATGAAGGTGCTGAAATATAAACGCTGGTGCGACTTCTCTAGTGCCCGAGAGCGGTGATGTGCAGAATCCACGAGGAACCACGGTGTCTGGCTCGTGTCGATGTTTGTGAGCGTGGTGTGTGTGTATGCACCGGTGTAACGTGGTTTGCAGTTACAGGAACCTGCGTTAAACGTTTCCACTGATGAAAAACACTTACCACCGTCTGCCGTTGGGCTTTTTCTACAGGCTTAACGTTCCTGGAGTCTTGTGGAATTTGTCAAACTCTTTTGCTGGTCCTAAAGGAAGCGTTGTAATACTCCCTTGAAAAGTGTGTTTAGTTGTTCTGGATTATAACAGTACTCAGATTTGGATTTTTTTAAGAGATACTCCAGGAAATCCTTAATCCTTTTTGGTAAATTATCCATAACGTAGGTACTGATGTGTCCCGTGTTACTTTTGTCTCCGCAGTCTTTCTTTTCTGTAAAACCTTTGTAAAGAACTCGTAGGCCTGGCGTACGCCACAGCTTAGAACGCTGGTCGCCGATAACCTGCGTTGGCTTCCTCGGAGCCCCGGACAGCGGTGCTCCCGCCTGCGAGAGGAGGCCGGGCAGAGAGAGGTCTCTCCGGATAACATTTCCAAGGAGAGGGGTTCTGTTGGGAGCTCGCGGTATCCAGCTGGGATGCAGGCTGAAGGACTCGTACATTCCAAACCCAGACGTTGCACACGATGTATTCTGTAAACCTTCTAAAGGAGTGGTGCCTTAATCCAATACCGTGAGGCGCTCAGAGTAGGTATTTTTCATGCACTTTGATTTTTGGTAGATCTTTCTGGTGCCTCTTTCCACATTTCACTTGCTGTACAGCTTCTTAAATGTATCAGTATGCCTTTTTTTTTTCCTTGCTAGTTGTACTAAATTTAAGAAGGGAACAAAACCGTTCTTGTAAGTTTTGTGCCAAATAAGCTAAATAAAATCTCTCTTTGATATTTTTGTTATGTGGGTTTTTTTTTTTTTTAAGTGCTGCCTTCCCAATTTTGACAACTGCTGTTCAAATTCTTGAAATCTGTTCTTGGCCCTCTTAGCTCTGAAGTGGCCTCTAAACTTGGGTTTAAAATTAAGAAGTGAATTGCCCACAACTAACTGATTTGCCTTTTGGGTGAAGAACGTGGTGTTAAGGTCAAACTCCGATAGAATCATAGAATGGTTTGGGTTGGAAGGGACCTTAAAGACCATCTAGTTCCAACCCCCCTGGCCCCTCCAGCCCTCTGAGCATCTTTGTGGCCTCCTCTGGACTCGCTCCAGTGCTCACTGTGGTCCTGGTCACCAGAGAAGTGCCTTTTGTTAATGGCAGAGGCTTCACCGTTCCCCCAGCTGAAAGAGGGAGGAATCACGTGTGTCCTCTCCATGGTGCGGAGTGGCTCGTACCTCCTGCCCTGGGAGCCTCGAGTTCCTGCGTAAGCAAAGGGTTGTGCCTCTCTGACTGCCGTTTCTGATGCTTCTGAAGGCTGAGAGAGTTGGGCTTGTTCAGCCTGGAGAAGAGAAGGCTCCGGGGAGACCTTATAGCACCTTCCAGTGCCTGAAGGGGCTACAAGGAAGCTGGGGGGGACTTTTTACAAGGGCCTGTAGTGACAGGACAAGGGGTAATGGGTTTAAATTGAAAGGGGGGAGGTTCAGATTAGGTATCAGGAAGAAGTTCTTCCCGGAGAGGGTGGGGAGGCACTGGAACAGGTTGCCCAGCGAAGCTGTGGATGCCCCATCCCTGGAAGTGTTCAAGGCCAGGCTGGATGAGGCTTTGAGCAACCTGGTCTCGGGGAAAGTGTCCCTGCCCATGGCAGGGGGGGTGGAACTAGATGGTCTTTAAGGTCCCTTCCAACCCAAACCCTGCTGTGCTTGTATGATTCTTGGTGCAATATGGGGATTATCAGAAGGATTTAGCGATTGTGGCTTCTGTAGGGCCACATGCAGAGGAGAAACCGTTTTTTCCTACCTTTTAGTTGCTCTTGTGTTTAGGTTTACCTAGAGTGGCCTTCCCGATGCTGTACTGAGACGAGAAAGCGAGGAGGCAGGAGAGAGAGCAGCAACGGGATGAGTGGAGGAGCTGGTGAGCAGAGGCGCTGTGCCGTGCGGGAGAAGGGGAAAGCAGCACGGTGTGACCTTTATTTTGGAGAGGGGTAGGAAGTGAGGGAGGTGGGAACAGGAGGTAGTGAAATTTCAAGAGCTGTCAAAGACACAAGTGCATAATACTCACGATAGTATCTGAGTCTGAATGAAACAGGGTGGTGACCGTGGTCTTAAAGCAGAGTTCAGCGCTGATAATGGTCTAAAGTTCTTCCTGGGCTCGGGAGGGGAGACTTAATTTTGTCTAATATTCTGTTTCTATTTTTAATGTGACCACTTCCAAATTTCTGAATAAACTGAAGTAGGAGGAGGACCTTCAGTCTTCAAAATCCCAGCATAAACGTTGCGGACACCCGGATCCCAGGACGCTAAGGTGGGAAACGATGGCGTGGAAGGGAAAAGGCGACTCCGACTGCCCTCTTGTGGGTCCGCAGCTCGGGCTCGCAGCGACCAGCACAACACTCTGCGGCGGGGGGGAGGCAAATGCCACCCCCTCCCCTCTGCCCAGAGGGGCCAGGGCCATCACTGTGGCCTGGTGAGGGCTTGAGGACAAGGGGAGGGTTATGCTGGAAGGGACACGCAGGATTGAGGGATGAGTTCGTGTGTCGCTGTAATGCCGTGTGCCATGCTGCGATTTGCAGCTTGTGTGCAGGTTCCTCAGGCACTTCTCATGCTGGGCAAACGCTGGCACTAGCCCGGCTTAAAAGACTGGTTTCTGAGCTTAGCAGCAGTTGTATTTATTTTTAATAAGCTGCAGCGCAGGCTGCGTGGTCAGAAGGAACGCTCCGTGACCGTAAGCTGCGCTCCTGTCTAAGAGGTGGGGCAGTCGCCCTTGCCCAGTGCTGCTTTGAGTTAGTTTTTTGGCAGCGTGTGCTCTCTGGTCCCAGCTCTGAGACTCCGGTGGCCAAATCTCGTGGTGGTTGTTCCAGGGGGTAAAAGCACAGACTTTATTTCCAGCCTCGTTTGTCCGCTTTATCTCCCAAGCGAAGTGTTGGTGGGCTCCTGCCTGCTTGCTTCCGATGGCCAGCAGACCCCGGATGCTCAGGGGCAGCGAGGAAGAGCCACAGGCTCCTCCCTTGTTCGGCAGCATGATCCCTCCTGGGCCGCGCATCCGAGCCACGCATCCCTCGTCCCACCTTTGCCAAACTGGAGCGGGCATTGCAATAGCCACAGGGGCGTTCCCGCTCCCACGTAACGTTCCCCGCTCTCCTCCATGGATCACGCCACCCCCCAAAGCGGTAGCTCCTCGTTTCAAGCCACGCCTGGAGCTTCTGCCGTCTTTCAGAGCATCTCTTCCCCCGCCCAAGCACACTGGGGTGGGGCAGAGCCATGCTGCTCACTTGTTGCCACGAGGTCACTGCTCCTCGGCAGCACAGCCTCCTCTTCTCGCCGTCACACGAGGTCTCAGCAACGCTCTTGCCGCCCAGGCTGCCGGTAAAGATGCCAACCAGCACACAGCCAGCGCGAAGCCCAGGCGGAACCCCGCTGCCCAAGAGGGTTCCCATTTCCAGTGAGCTCCTGAAACCTTTGGCCGGATTTTAATTTATTTGAAGGTGCACTAGGCTCCGCTTTCGTATTCGGAGCTGGACTGGGCCAAGCTGTGAGAGGAGAGCCGCGATGGCTCGCTGCGTTAATACTGTTGCTCTGTTGAGGACGCCAGGATCTATTAAAACAAGAATCAATTTGACGAGATCTGTTTTCCACGAATGCGTTGGTTGACATGAGAGAGAGAGGTTGGGTTCCCTTCCAACCCTAACCATTCTATGATTCTATGACATTAACCTCTTTTAACTCTGCTTCAGCTACTGTTTTCCCCTTTCAGACTGACAGGCCAATAATAATCCCCTCTAATTATATATATTTATAAATAGGCAAAATATTAGCCTCTTCCACCCTTGCGGAATTTCTTCTGAAATTAAAGACCTGTTGGAAATCAGCGTCCGTGGTTCACAGATCTCTCTCGGCAGGGTTTCTGTAAGCTGGGGAAGAATCTACGTGGCTCTGCAGACACAGGCATTAATTCAAGAGGCCGACGTCTGGCGCTGCACCCCAGTGTGACTCGGGAGAAGGCGCCTCCTCGTGATGGAGCCAACGCGCAGCTGTGCCCCACGGGGAGCACACGGGGCCGTTTTATCATCCTCCTAAATGAAGTGAATATCCTCACGTAGTTTATGTGTCGTTACGTTATAATTCCGTGCTGTTGCT